GGGGGCCTGGATGGCAGCTCATGCTGGCAGCTCACGCTGTCCCGCCCTGCCTGCAATATGCAAATTACCCTCCATCTTTGTTGGCTGTTAATTTGCATATCTTGATGATTAGCCAATGTGAGGTGTAGCGAAGGTATGGTCAATTACCATGTTTGGCTATTATTAGATAGGATAATTAACATACATCATGGTGTGAGTCTCAAGTGTACACATATTAGTTTGACTTACGTATATTATAAAATGATTACCATAATAAGTTTAGTTAGCATCAATTATCTAATACAAATGCAATAAAAAGTAGAAAAGAAAAAAGTTACTCTCCTTGTGATGAGAATTCTTAGGATTTATTCTCTTAACAACCTGCATATATATTATACAGTGGTATTCATTATAGTCATTATATTGTACAGCACATCCCTAGTAATTCATTATCTTATAATTAAAAGTTTGTATCTCTTGACCATGTTCCTCCAATTCTCCCACTTCCACCATCTGCCTCTGTTGACCATAAACCTGATCTCTTTTTTAGAGTTTGGATATATTTTTTTCAGATTCCACATATAAATGAGATCATACAGTATTTGTCTTTCTCTGTCTGACTTATTTCACTTTCCATACTCAAGGACTATCCAGGTTGACACAAATGGCAGGATTTCCTCATTTAAAAAAATATGTTGACCATTTGTATAGTTTTTTTGGAAAAACTATTCAGGTCTTTTGCCCATTTCTAAATTGGATTACTTTTCCTGTGCCACATAATTTTTGATGGTAAGGGATTGTGTTATATTCCATTTTCTATCACCAGAACTCACAAAATACTTGTTAAAGAATGCCCAATAAATGGTTTTTGAACAAACAAATGATTGCTGTTTACCACTCTGATAGGAGTTATTGTTCGTTTTCAATTGTCTGGGTAGGATTAACAGAAAACTTTGATGTACAAATTTGTGTGTCTAAGAAAGCCAGCAATTCTACAAAAAAAAAAAAAATTACTCAAGATGAACATTTAGAAAACCAAGTTTTCTACTCGCTTGCAATCATAAGGCTACTTCCATAAACTTAGGGCCTATGCCTTTGGGGTGAGAGTAGAAAAATTTACTTTTAATATACAGACTGTAACTCTGAGCAAGTAGATATTGGTTACTCAGCCCCAGTGTCTCTGCAGAGAGATCAGCATGTGCTGCACAGGGAACAGTCTACTGGTTAGCTTAGAACCAGCTTTGTGTTATTTTGACTGTGTTTATTATTCAGTTTCCATTCTAAAACAACTTTTATCACTTTTAATTTTCCAATAATAAAAAATACAGCCTCAACTAAGGTCTTGGCTTTATATGATCTTACTTAAGGTATTGGTTGATATTCTCAATAGCTCTCAGGATTTTTGCATTTCAGTGGAAGATTATTTAAGGTACCAAATTTTATAATTGAAAAAAAAAAAGAAAATTTATAATAGAACAACACTTAGCACTCTGACAAGACATTATGTTGATTGGTCACTTCATCCATTAAAAACAAACAAATAAACAAAATAAAAGCAAGACAAAACAAAATGGTAACCTAAGTAGAGATCAAGTCATGTCATTTGATGAAAGGAGAATAATGAACGTTGGCTCAACTTAAAGAGACTATCTCTGGCATAACGTCACATACCTGGGGAGCAACTTTAATTCCATGGGGTTTTAAGGTAACAGGATTCATCGGGGTGAGTTCCATCCCAGGTAAAAGATCATAGAGTTTCTCTTCTTTCTTGTCTCCTTTGACCTGGTATCCACGACCCAGGCCTGTGTATGCCAAATAGCCACGGCCGCCCAGTCCTCTCACTCCCGCAGCCCCTACAGGTACATTCATGTAAATTTCTAGGAATGTAAGAAGGCATTAAACTGAATCAAACCACCAGAAAATCACCCTGAATCTTACTGTAATGGAAAAGTTAGCCCAAGTCACATTGATTATTGCCCTGAGGATGGGTAGAAAACCCTAGGATTCTAATGTAATGAAACTCAACATAAGGTAGGGTTCACCAGAGGTGTCTTTCTTTTTTAAAAAAAACTATCTGTGGAAGAAAGAAGTACTATCAAAGCTATTGATAATTACATAAGCAACTTTAAAATTTAGTAAAGAGAAAAAATTTTCCGTTTTTGTTTTCAGTTAATCTTTTATTGACATTTTTTTTCTGTAGAATAATTAATATTGGGAAGGTATTTTTTTTTAAAAAAAAACACCCCCGCATGATATAACCACATACAGCGGTCATATCAGTTTTGCATTTTGTCATTGAGCAATAAGTTAGAAATGAATTCTAGTTTCCCCAGTATTGCCATCCTCAATGACCTGTTGGAAAACCAACATTGAAAGCATTTTTAAATTAACCATTTTCTATCTTATGTTCTGTCTACGTGAGGCTTAAATTTCTATTGAGTTTCATTAATAGATTCCTTTTGATTTTTTTTTTGTTTTCCACATTGCTACTTTGATTTCCTATTGGTGGCATAAAGATAAAAATGTTAAACTGATTACCCTTCATCCATGAATATCATTCATTCATTGATTTTTTTTGTTTTGTTATAAAGGTGTTTTTTCCCCCTTGGAGTAGAGTTTGTTTTTCCTTACATTACAACTGGTTGACAACTTATATTCAATGTCTGGATTGTTTTATGATGTGATTTCAGATTATAAATGCTTAACATTTTAATTATGTGACTAGTTACATATGATTGCAATATGGTGATTCAATGAACAATTGTGGACCTGAGATTTAGATTGTGCAAATGTTATGGGTCCCATGCAAAGATCAAATGTGTGGAAAGACTCATTTGTACTATGCTATGACCAGGTTTTCTCAACCAGTTGTAATGTGAAATAAGATTCCTATGGAAGGATAACTATTGATAAAATATTTGATTTTTTTTTTTAAATTTTGAGTTCTTTTCTCTCAGTGGACTCACCCAGTTTTACTGAGGCTATTGCAATACAAATCGTTTGAAATCATGCAGTTATTCTAAGGCAAGAGCTGATTAGTATTACCTCTAACAGAAGGGGCTCGGATAACGGCCCTGTTGCCAAAATGTCCTTTGGTGGCTGGGAAATGAAGGCTAGGAATCGTATAGGCCTGCGGGGCATAGAAGACAGGAGCTCCGAGGTAGGCTGTGGTAGGATCATAAACATGGCCCAAAGAATAGGTATACTCTCCTTGCAGCATGGCGCCCCTTCCACCTGTGCCTCGGGTATACCTGACATAGCTGTCCTTGTCCACTGGTTTGGCTAGCGTCACTTCAATGGGGGAGCCATCCAGCACCTGTTATAGAGAGCAAGGAAAAGCAACAAGAAAGCTATGAAGACAACCACGGGAGGCTGAGCTCTCGTGATGGGTCTCCTTCTGTATTAGCCTATTTGCTGCTATGTGTACTGGCTGTTTTAATTATATGTACTTGGCTCTATAGGTTGATGGCGTGTGTCATTTAAATTTTTGCCTGAATAGTTTTGTTGAGAAGTTGCCCATAAGCTGCCAACAGGTTTTCATAGTGACAAATTGGCCACCATCATGAACATATTGGTTATAAATTTATTGTCTGAATACAGTCACTGAGACAGAATTATGTAATATTTTTAATGTGCTGTATATGGTTTAAATGGCATGTTTACATGCTTATGTAATTATATAATTCTAAGACAGTTTAGGTTAATTATGGAGATTAAAATCTCCACTACCTAGCAGGGTACAATGAAGATGAAAGGAAACCAAAAAAGAGATCTTATCAATTATTAATTTTTTGGTATGGGTAGCTGGGCCTTTCTGGCTGCTAGCCAACTAAAGGTCTTGTTCCTTAGAGTTGCTACACAGTAAGTACGTTTTCACTGGGAAGGAGGAGAGACCTAAAAGGTGAGGCGCTACCCAAGGAAGAGGCATCTGAGGCCATTACCTTGTCCCCCACATGTACTTCCTTGGGAAGCAACCTTCAGGGCTGCTGAACAGTTGGTAACTAACAAATGGAGATGGTGGATAGTACTGAGGTTTCTCAAGTCATGCACTCCTGAAAACTTGTCCTCAAGAATTATTGAATTGGTCTTATTCTGACACAAATTTTTGACATTGAAAACAGCTCCAGATAATAGCTGAAGATAATAGTTGAACATAATAGAAGTGCTTAGCTCTACATGTGTGACTCACTTCTGTGTAGCACTGTCATACACAGAGACAAGGATAGCTCTCAACAAATACTTGATAGAGTAATGTATTTCTTATCAAAGAACAAGGTGTTATGAGAAAGCTTTTGTGGCTTCTTTCTAATAATACGTTGGACTCCTATTTTATATAAATGAAAGAAATTATATAAAATGTTCCTGCAGAAATTCCCTTCCATCCTTATTATCTGATGTCATGAGCAATGCAGTGGCTCCTGGGTCATTGAAGTCGGCTAGATGGAGCTTGTGATTCATCCTGACCATTTTGTTCAGTCTCTGGGGCAACTTATCCCTCTTTCTATGGATCTACCCTGCTTTTTAGTAGCAGGAGCCAGTGTCAAATGGAACACACGGAGAGAGAATCCAGCTGATATTCAACGGTTACATTGTCATTCATGTGAATAGAAGAAATGGAGTATTGAAGGAATGAGGTAAACTTGATAAGATGCTTTATATCACCAGTCTTTTCTTAAAATGAGAGACCCAAATAGGTCTCTGCTTATAGGCACTTTCATATCAAGAGACCTTTGTAATAGAATGATTACATACTACAAAGTCAGATTTCTTATTGTGATAGATTTGTTTTGTATACCTCTGGCACCCAACAGTGTTTTAAACTCAAAATTGTATTTTAGTTATTTGGTTTAGACATTTCAAGAGCTAAGACAATATCTCATTAATCTGTATATCCCAAGCCCAGCAAAATTTTTTGTAAATATCCATAAATATTTATAGAATAAATATCCACATCCAAAGCTCAACTCATCACTTTTCTCTTTAAATAGGCTCTCCTGCCTGGCTTCCCTAACAGTATTATTCTGGTTTCCCATATTGAAAATCTATATCGACTCATCCTTCTTTCTCACTCCTACATCCAATCAGTTCCTGAGTCTTTTGAATTCATCCCCCTTAGTCCTGTGTAGAGCTCTCTTCTATGCCCCATTCCCACCCTAGTTCAAGTCCTGTTTCTTTCCATTTGGATGACCAATAACTTTTTAACTAGTTGCAATTACATCTCTCTTCCTATTCTATGAAATTTCAATTATTAGTAGGTTCATTTCCCTAAATTGTAAATATGGTAATTATTCCATTGCACAAAATATTCAAAGTCTCACCTTGCTTAACAAATTAAATATCCATATGCTATTTTTGATTTTCCCATACCACATTATAGTGAAATATAATTATAATATTTAGTGTATATTTAATAATAATATTGAATATTTATTTAACTACATAATATATGTATCTACTTCTATGAAAATATCTACCTATAAATATATATAGCTTTTAAAAACTGGAAAAAGTTTGAATATATTTTCATTGTAATTATTCCAATGTTTTCCATTATTTATCAATTAATCATAACTGCAGTTAGTTTAATAATCATAAAATAAATAATAATAAATTAGCACTTAATTCAGAATATTCCTTTTCAGCAATCATTTGTATACTTAGGAATGTTTTCAAATTGAAAAAAACTAACATACAAATTGTTTTAAATAATCATTTTATGAGTTTAAATGTAAGAATCAATGATGATAAAACAATGTTTTGCTCCATAGACATGTATTAAATATGCATTAATTTTTGCTTTTCAGTTTTCTTTTTGTATTTTAAAGTCAATACTTTCCCTCCCAGGACTCAAACATTTCTGTAGGTCCTGGAGAAGCTCTTATGCCCGGCCCCACTGTATCTGAAGGGCCTACTCCCCAGTGGTCTCCAGCCTCTTTGCCCTGGGGTGGGGTGACCTACATGGGGTCCTCTTCAGGGCTCCTGGGCCTCTGGATTATGATTGGGTTTGGCCCATGGGGAGTCCTGGCAGGAGATAAGAGAAAGAGATAACAGTGAGTTCAGGCTATTTCTTCCTCT